AATTTTCAGTATTAATATAAAATTTTAAATAAATAAATATATAAAATATAAGAATATATATATTTTTTTTTTTACAAATAATATAAAATCATATTTCAATTTAAAATAATTTTTTTTCTAAATAAATTTAAAAAATTTGATTTTTAAATGTTACATAATAAAAAATTAAAACTAAAATTTACATTATATATTTTTCTTATTTTTATAACTAAAATAAATTTAATTTAAATTTATTTTTATTATATTATATTATCATTCTAAAAAGATAATCACTATTAATACCTTTTTATATTAAAATAATTTTTATAAAAGTTTAATTTTTTATTTTTAAAAAAAATACAATTCTTCTAAAACAGAAGCTTGTAAAAGTAAACACATTAATAAATCTTCATCTGATACTATCTTTTTTTTTAATAAAATTAAATTATAATATAAATTGATTTTATTTTAAATTTACATTATTTTCCAAGCTTTTTTTACTATTTTAAATATTGTTATTTGAAAAAACTCCTGATTATTTGTTTTAAACATTTTATTTTAATTATTTTAAACTAGAATTGTTAGTAAAAGATGATTATTCTTCTTTTTATTTATATGTTTAATTTATTTGAGTAAGTTTAATTATATTTTATTAAAGTATATTATTTTCAATCATTTAAGCATCTAATTTATTTTAATATTCTTCTAGTTTTTCTCTTAAAACATTTTTTCTTCTTAATTTTTCTATATAAATTATAGTCATTATTATTATTGTTATTATTATTATTATTATTATTATTATTATTATTATTTTTATTATTTTTATTATTATTATTAGTATTGTTATTTGTATTTATATTATTATTGTTAATGTTATTATTATTATTATTGTTATTATTATTAATTATATTATTTTCATTCAATAATTTGAACATATTTTTCGAATAAAAATTATAATCATTCTATAAGTCTTGCTCTATTTTTTTGTTTATTGTAATAACTATTAAAATTCTTCATTATTTTATATCTTTTTTTATATATTTTCATTATTATAATTTTTATTTTTTACATTTCCTAATTTTAATAGTAAATTTGAATATCTTTTAATTTTTTCTGTTATATTTTAAGGAATACATTCATTTTAACTTAATAAATTTTGGTATTATAAATTAATATTATGTATTTATTAATGATAATCTTATATTTTCTATAAAAATAAATATATACATATATTATAATTATAAATAAAAATATTGAAAATATATATTTATTTAAATTATGATATATAAATATATAATTTTTTATTTTTTGTCAATATATTATATAATTAATATATTTTTAATTATAGTAAAAAATATGTTTATTATAATATATTTAAAAAAATATACTTAATTTTATTCCTTAATTATTTAATCTTTTATAGAATTTTAATTCAAAAATTTTTCAACTTCTTTTGTTTTGTTTAATAATTATTATTCTATATATCTTAAAAATTTTAAATATATTTTATTAATTTTTTTTCTTAAAATAAAATAAAATATTATAATAATTATACTTAAAATCAATATCTAAATCATTTAAATTTAATTAATTATTCATACTTTATTATGGAAAAATATTTTAATATTTAAATATTAAATCTTTTATTAAATTTTTCTCATCCTTAAAAAATAAATATATATAAAAAAATAATTACATATATATATATATATATATTTAATAAAATTTTATATATTTATATATTTATATAGATTTACTATTAAAATTTATATTTATTTATTCATATCTTCAATTTTTTTATTTAACTAAATATTTTATTATTAAACAAAAAATAAGTTATTAATTCCATCTTTACATTGAAATTCAAATAAATGTGAGATAATAAAATTTATTTAATTTAAAATAAAATCTTATTTATCACTATTTTAAAGAATTTCTCCATTTTTTTAAAATTCTTATAAAATTTCATTCAAAAATTTATTTATAAGAAATTTATTATCATTATTTTTTTTAATATTAACTAAATTGTTTTTTACCTTCACCATATTTTTTTTCTGAATATTATATACATATAAAAATTCCTTAATATCTTTAAAAATTTACAAAAGTGAATACTATTTTTAATTTTTTAACATTATTTTTATAAAGCAAATCTCACAGCTCTTATTTTCCTATATAAGGTGATTATTTTCACATTTTTCGCTTTTTTATATACATTAAATATTATTAATGTTTGTTTATTTTTATATAGATTTTTTTATTTAGCTATTTAAGCTTTCATATTGTTATTTAACATGTATATTTTCGTTTAAAAAAATTAAACTTTCTCCTTCTGTATTACTTTTGAGAGAATTATCAGTATTTATTTATAATGAATTTTATTTTTAATATATTGAATTCTTCAATGAGTTTCTCTATTATTCAAATTCTTAATATGAGAATTAATTTTTAATTAATTCTTATTGATAAAAAGGTAAATTTCGGGATATTTAGGTATTATTTGCTTATGGTATGGATTAGCTATAATTTTATATATTGCTTGAGTTTTTTAGAAAAAAATTATTCGTTTCCATTACTTGTTTGATTTTATTTGATTGTTTTTTTTATAAAATTGGAATGCTAGCTTTAGATTTAGTTTGGATAAAAAAATAATTGTTTTCTTGATTATTTGTTGACTTTTTATTTGGGTTTTGCTTTTCTTCAGATTAGTTTTTTTTTATTTTTGGTATTTCTTGAATATTTGTTTTTTATTTTAATTATTATTAACTAGATTTTATGTTTAGAACTTTTTTTTTTTTTTTTTTCAATAAATGGATATTTATTTTACTTTAAGTGTTTTGCATATATGTTACTTTTTAATTTTTTTTTTTTTTTTTAAATATAATGTATAAATAAATAAATATTTAAGATGTGTTTTTTTTTTTACTTTAAAGAATAAAAATATTAAAAATCGTTATTAATTTTATGTTTTCTTTTTATTTTATTTTCTTTAAATTTTAAATATTTTTGTTATTATTGTATATTGTAAATCTAAATAATATTTTTTTTTTAATATATATATAAAGAAAATAAAAATATAAATATGTATATAAATGTATATATTATAAATATATTTATATTTCATTAAAATATTTTTATATTTTATATAAATAATATAATAAATAATTTTTTTTTAAAAAAAAAAATTATAAATTTTTTATATTATATAAACTATAATTATCATTAAAATAATTTAATTTTTATATAGTTTTTATTAAAAATAAAATTAATTTTAGTAATACATTTTTTTTTTTTTTTTTTCTTATTATTAAATTTAAAATTACAAAAATTTTTTTTTTTTAATTAATTTTTTTATTAAAAAATAAATAAAAATATAATATAATACAATACAATATATTCATTAAAAAAAAAAAAAATTATATAATATATAAATCATTATATAATATAATTTATCAATATATGGATACTAAATTAGAAAAAAAAATAAACTAACTAGAATAAAAATTACAATTATAATAATTGGATTAAGATGATTATAATAAACTATTAAAATTATACATGAAGTAAGTAAACCATCTAAAAGCAGTAACTTTACGTTAAAAAATGAATTAAATATATTATTTTAATGAAGGTAATTTATATATTTATATATCTAAATAAGTAAAATTATAAATTATAAAGAATAATGGATAGATTGGTTAACAGAAGAAAAAATATTATCAGAAGATAATCAAGAAAAAAAAATTTAAATTTTAAATTTATTTGAAAAAGCATTAGAAGAAGGATATTGTAATATAAACAAAAATATTTTTATATATTTATATAAAAATAAATAATTATATATATATATATATTTATATATATATTTTTATTCAAAAGTTATTGAAATAGGAAAAATGTATATAAAATATAGTCATGAACTTTTAGAAGAAAAAATAATAACCAAAAACAAATTCAAAATAATAACCGAAAAAGTATTAGGAATATTCATCTAAGACTTTTACATAGGATCTGATATATTCAAACTAGCTCGTGATATAGAATATGAATAAATAAAAAATTACAAAGAAGATGAAAAATAATAGTTTAAAAAATATACATATGTTTTATTTTTAACAATAAAAAAAATATATATATATAATTTATATATATAGTAAAGATAGTTAGAATTATATATAATAATTATACTAAAGGGAATTAAAATAATGTTTAGTTAATTTATAAATGATTTGGTTAGAATATTAAAATTTTGAAAAGAATAAAACATTATTAGAAGAAGGAAAAAAAAATTTCGAGAAAAATATGAACGAAAATATGTCTTTAATATTAGATTTGGAAGAAAATTATGAAAATTAAACTGAAAAAGAACAGTTTTTAAAAGAATTAATTGAATTATAAGAAAAAGATGAAAAAAAAAGAATTTCAAATGAAAAAGTTATTAATTTTTTCGAAAGAAGCTTATAAGAAAATTTAACAAATTTAAATATTTGGAATTGCTTTTTAGAATTTCTCAAAAAAAAAAAAATACCAATTTTAAAGTAAAAAATAGTCTACTAAAGAGCACTAAAATTATTTCCAAATGACCTAAATATTACTCTAGGTTTTTTAAGAATTTAGGAAAAAAATTCAGTATTTTTTGAAGAATTATATGCCTCTTTCTAATCCATTATAGGTAATTTCGAACACCAAAAGGAATGTTAATACATTCTATTTTAGAACTTCATTGCTTTTTCAGTCAGAAAAATGCTAGAAGTAGATTAAATTAAAGAAGAGACAATATAAAATATGAGAATAGTACAAGAAAATGCACTTTAGTATTTTTAAAATGAAGAAAATGAGAATTTAGAGATTGAAATATTACTAAAATGGGCTGAAATCGAATATCATATTGTAAAAGATATTAAAAAAGGGTAATCTGTCTGCGAAAAAATAGTAAGAAAATACGGAAACTATTTAAAAAATTGGATAAAATATATAGAATTAGAAAAAAATTGTGTAAAAAATATACAAAATTTAAGAAGTATAATTAAAAGAATGATTGAATATGTAAAAGACGATATTTTAGGTAGTTTAAATATTTGGGTTGATTTTGAGTAACTTTATGGAAATTTGGAAAATATAGAAAATATTGAAGATAAAATAATTGAAAAAAGTAAAGAAGTTTTATTAAATTAAGAAGAAGAAGATGATATAGAAGTAAATTTAACCTAAAATTAAGAAAATCTTAATTTGAATAAAAAAAGGAAAAATTAAGAATATGAAGAAGAAGAAGGAAATAATATTTTTAAAAAAAATAAAGGAAATAATAATTAAGAAATTAAAAAAAATGAAAAATAAATAAAAAATAATAATTAAGAAAATATATAACATATACAAACAGTTTTTATTAAAAATTTACCTACTCATTATTCAGAATAAGAAATAAATAATTTATTTGAAAATGTATATAATTTAAATATATATTAAATATATAAAAAATTTATAAAAAAAAAAGTAATAAAATATTAAATCAATAAGAATAGTTAAGAAAGGTAAAAAAGGACTGGCTTATATAGATTTTTTAAATCAAGAAGAAGCTGAAAAAGCATGTAAATAGGCTAATAATTTAAAAATAGACGATAATCATATACTATATGTAGCATTATCAGCACCACCTAAAGAAAAAAAAGAAGGTATGTATAATTATAAAATATAAAAAGATATAAAAATATATATATATATAAATATATATATATATATATATATATATTTAATATATGAATTTAATATTAAATTATAAATTAATATTATTTTTATATTTAAATTTATATATTTTTTTTATATATTATATACTATATATTAATACTATTTCTTTTATTATTTTATTTATACTTTCTAAAATATTTTTTTATTTTTTTTTACTAATTAAATAATATTTATATTCTTTATATTTATTTTATACATTATATATTTTATAGAAATTAATCTTACATTATTTTTAAATAACCTTCCTTTCGAGATAAAAGAAGAAGAAATCTAAAAACAATTTTAGGATATATAAATAAAGGAAATTCGAATTATTAAAGACGATAAAGGTCTCTGTCGGGGTTATTCTTATATAGAATTTTAAGATGAAAATGATGTTTAAAAAGCTCTTTAATTAATTAAGTAGAACCCGTTTATATTAGGTCGAAAAATAAATTGTTAAATAGCAAAAAATAAAGAAGAAATATTATAAAATAAAGAATCACATTATACTGTTTTTCTTAAAAATATTAGTTTTAAAACTCGTGAAAGTGATATAAGGGAATTTTTCACAAATTATATAATTGATTAAATTTTAATTGCCAAAGATTTAGATGGAAAACCAAAAGGATATGCTTACGTATCATTTAAAGATTAAAATACGCTTTATAAAGTTTTGCAAATTAAAAAAGGTATTATTAAAAATAGAGAATTTGAAATTTTAAAGTCTGATAGATAGATTACTAATAGAAAGTATATTTATTTTTTTAATTATTTTTTATTATTTTTTTTATTTTTAGAAACACTGATAAAATGGAAGTAGAATATAAAGAAAATAAAACAAATGATGATTTCAGATAACTTTTTAAATGAAATATTTAATAATAAAAAGTATAGGATAGATAAAAAAATATTTGGCTATATATTTTATAACATTAATATTTCTTTTTATTTTTTTAGAATATTTATTATTTATTTTTTATATAAACAATAAAAATATTAAAAGAAAAATTAGAAAAAATTAAATTTTTGTAATAAATGATATAGATATAAATATTTAATATACTTTAAATTATCTTTATTTTATTAAAAAAAAATATTAGGAAGAAAATAGAAAATATCAATAATAAAAATTATTTATAAAATTAAAAAAAAAAAAAAAGATTTAATTTTTTCATATATATAAAAAAAGTATTTAAAAAAGATAAAAAAATAGAAATATAAATTGTATATATTTATATATATTTATATATATATATTTATATTCGTATTTTATATTATTTTATAATAATAATTTGTTTTTTTCTTATTTATAAATAATATTTAATAAAATAATTTTTTTTTCATTTATAAATTTAATAAAATCTTTTAAAATAAATTTTAATATCATTAAATTTTCTATATAATTTAATTAGATATAAATTAAAATTCGAAAAATTTAAATCTAAGATCATAAATACATATATTATTATATTTATCATTAATTTTTTTATATTTGATTTTTAATATTAATTTATAAAAAAAAATTAGAAATTCATTAATATATAAGAATATAAATACATTAATAAAAATATATATATTTTTTTCATTATTTTAATTTTGATAATATTTATTATCTTAAATCTTTACTATTTTATATAAAGTTTGAATTTCCTTTATTATATTTTTTTAATGTATTCATCAAAGTTAAGTTTTCATAACTTTTTTATATTTTATTCATTTATGATTATGCTTTTATAATTTTTAAAATTAAATTTTTATTATATTTGTATTATATATTTAAAAAAAATTACTATTAATTTATTAATTAGGATAGGATTATAATAACTACTCCATAACTTTTTATTAAAAATATAAAAAAATACATATAAATAAATAAAAATATTTATAAAATTATTTATATATTTATATATTTATATATTTATATATTTATATATATTTAATTACCTCCTGCCGTATCTTCTAATCCTCCTAAGTTTTATATATTTTTATTTAAATTTTCAAAAACCTGTTTTGTACTATCGTCTCTTATTTAAGGTTATTTCATTAAATTAAAATAATCATTTTAAAATTTATTTTCTGGTATTTCTTTATTATTTATTCCTTATTAATTTAAATTACTTTAATTATAATTAACATCTAAATAAATTTAATGTGCAAAATCAAACTCACTTCTTATTTCTACTACAGCAGTTGGCTTAATAGGTGGCTCAGGTGGCATTTAGGTAGTTATTTTATTTAATCTTTAGTACTTTGTTAAATAACTAAAAAAAATACATATATTATAATAATTAATAATTAATATTTAATATACCCTCCATCACTTACAAATGTATTTTTCATAAAACAATTATCTATATTTTAAACATCTTGTAGTTATTTTTATTAATTTTAATTATAAAATTCCTAAGATACTTATTATAACGATATTTTATTATATTTTTTGTAAAATCTTTTTATTTTATGTTGTATATTTTTTTTTATATTTTTTATATTTATTTATATATACTCATTATCATATTCTTTTAATTTATTCATTAAATTTTCTTTTAATTATATTACTTTTGCTTCATCGGAATCTCCAATATTAAAATTTTAAATATCTTCAAAAAGCTTTTCAACTGTTTCTTATAAATCTATATATAAATGTTATGTTTATAAATATTATTTTTCTATTATTATAATTTCTTTTGATAATATATATATATATATATATATATATATATATATATATATATATAATTCTTCTGTAGTCATTTAATAAAATTAACAAATATTTTTTAAAAAATTAGTTTTATTTTTATTGTTATTAATAATAATAAATAAAAATGTAAAATAATTTTTTTTTATTTTTGTTTAAAAAAAAATTATTTATTATACTAAATAATAAATACAAAAATATATTATTTTATTTTCTTAAATTCCAAATAGAAAAAAAAAAATAATTTTATAAAAAATCTTACTAATTTAAAAATAATAAAACCTCTATTATAAATTAATAAAACAAAAAATTATAATAATATATTAAAAATATATATAACAAAAAAATTTAAATTAAAAATAAAAAAATTTAAACATAAAATATATATATGGAAGCTCCACCTATAACTGAAGAAGAATTAAATTAGTTATATAATTGGATAGACACTATTCCATTAACTAGATCAAAAAAAAACATAACAAGAGATTTTGCAGATGGATGTATGATGGCAGAAATAATATAGCATTATTTACCAAAATTAGTTGATGTCCATAATTATTCACAGGCACACTCAATAACTTAAAAAATGTATAATTGGAATACATTAAATTGTAACAAAAATAAATAAAAAAATTATATGTATATTTATATTATAATAGAAAGAGTATTTAGAAAAATGGGATTCTAAATATCTAATATTGATATTGAAAGTATAATAAATTCAACTCCTAATGCGATTGAAAGAGTATTGAAAGTAGTTTAAATAAAAATTGAAAAATATATTCAAGAATAAAAAAAAAGAAAAGAACAAGAATCATTTGTATAGTAAAAATAATAGTAAAATGTATTTTAAAACTAATAAAATTAAGGAGGTTATTATAATTCTTAAAATATAGATGATTCATAATAATATGGATATAATAAGTATATTTAAATTAAATAACATAAAAAAAATATATATACAAATGTTGTATATATATAAATATAAAAATAATAAATAAATACATTTACATTTATATTTTTATGATATTTATATATTTAAAAATTTTTAATTTTTTTTTTATATTTTAGTTTATGTTAAAAAGAATTAATTTTTAAACTTTAAGAAAAGGATAAGTCTAATTAAGAACTTAAAGAAACTATTGAAGTTTTTTTTTATATATTATTTAGTTTAATAAATTTTACTTATTTTATATAACTTAGATATTAGAATTAAAAGTAAAAAAAATGGATTAACTTGTCAAATTAAAAGATAGTAAAATTTAAAATTTAATTAATAAGCTTTCAGTTGCAGGTCTTTAATGAATTTAAAAAAAATTTTATATTTGTTTATATTAATTATTAGTAATAGATATATAATTTTAAAAAATAATAATTTTTATATTTTTTAATATAAGAAATAAATAAAAAAAATTATATGCAATAAAGAATTAGAGTTTATAATAAAATATATTATATATATATAAATATATATATATATATATATATATATATATATATATATTTTTATATATATATTTAATAATTTTTTGTGTTTATTATTTCTTTAATATTATATATATATCTTATTTATAAATTTTTATTTTTATTATTAATTCTTCTAAATAATATAATATTTTTTGTAAAAATAAAAATAATATTTTATTGATTATTAACCATTAAATAAAAATATATATTTGTTCAAAAAATAAATAATTTAACTAAAAAACATGCAAAGAAGTCCATTTTAAATATGTTTTTTCATTAATTAATTTATTTTTATTATAAAAATAAAAAATACGAAAATAATTTTTAAAATTGTATATAAATTACATATAAAGATGATACCTTATATAATTCATTAAAAATACTTATTTATACAGTAATCATATAATTATAAATAATAAAATTAAAACTATGAAAAAAATAAATTCGAATATGTAAATAATATAAAAAGAGTAACTAAAAAAAAAAAAATATTTTACAAAGCGAATTCCTAAAAAATCCAATCATATTTTTACAATAAAAATAAAATAAATATATATAGAAAATACTGAAAAAATCACAAAGAAATTGCTTGAATTTCCCTTTATATAAATACTCCAAAACAGAACATATGAAGTTAAATCATTAAGTTCCTAAAGAGATGGATATGGTATTTAAATATGGAAAGATAGCTATAAATATATTAGCATATGGTACTAAAATAAAGATTAGGGAAGTGTAAAATATATCATATAGATAGGGATATATATCAAGGAGAATCGGCAGATAATAAAGTTAATTCTTATGGGGTTTATATACATAAAATGGGGCAAAATAATAAGTTTAATGAAAAAAAAATATTTATAAGATTGATATAGAATAGAAATTTGGAAAAATAGATGTAATTATGATGAGTTTCATTATAAAGGGAAAAATATTTATAAAAAGTTTATATTGGACCCGATAATTCTAGTAATTCGGTATAATAGAATGATAATAAAATGTAAGGATTTAAAGATATATGATTATAATATTATTTTTTTAAAAAAATAAAAATAAAATAAAGTAAAAAACTTGTGTTTCTGATTTATAATTCATAGCATGGAAAGCATATTTGCTAAGAATAAATAAAAATAGATATGATTTTGATAAAAAATTGAAAGGTATATAAAAAAGTAAATAATAAATTTATAAAAAGTATTGTCATTCAGGTATATAAGAAAAATTAAAAAAATAAGAATACTACAATAATATATAAAAAAATAAGATATTTATTAAAAAGTAAAATAAATTTTTATTGATAAAAAAAATAAAAAAAATAAATAAATTATATTTAAATATTTATATAAAATAATACAATTTAAAAATTTTAAATTTATAATAGAAATATATATATATATATAAATATATATATATAATTTATTTATTTTTTAATAATATATTTTTATTATTTTATATAAAATATCCTATATATTCCATTCAAATATAAATTTTATTGATTTTTTTATAATAATTTTCAATTTTATTTTCTCATTTTAAGCATAAATTTATAGCAGTAGTAGGAATTTAGAAAACTTTCTACTGATTGGCAGATTAATTTTATTATTATTATTAATTAGGAAATTAATATACGGAATATTAAAATTATTATAGTTGATATTATTATTATTGTTATTATAATTATAATAGTTAATTTTATTATGATTATTATTGTTATTATTATTATTATTATTATTATTATTATTATTATACTTATACTTATTATTTTTAAATCTAATTTTAAAAAATTTGTTATTGATTATTTTATTGTTAATAATAACCTTAATATTGTCCTTAATTCTAAATTTATTTTTATTATTATTACTATAATTAGGATTATTATTAATATTATCCTTAATATTAATATTATTATTATTAATTTTATTATTTAGATTATATCTATTATTATTAAACTTGCAATTACTATTATTTTATTTAATTGCTATCATTTTAAATTTTATTATTATAATTAGGTACATTATTTTATAAATAATTATTATAACTTTGATTAATAGTTGGTTATTTATCTTTTGGAGTTGTATTTATTGGTTATTAACTTAGAATTTACTAAATGTATTATTTATTATCTAAATTATTACCATAGTCATCTTAAAAATCTTATTTATAATTTTTTTATATCGACTCATTTTAATTATACTATAATTAATTATTTTTTATAGGCGAATCAAATTTTGAATTAGAGCTTTTAATATTTCCTTAAGCAAGCTAATAAGAAGAAGTAGTATTTGAATTGCGATTATTTCCAATAATTTAAGAACTATCATTTGATTAATCATTTAATTAATTAGAGCTTTTTAATCTTTATTAAGGAGTTGCTTTATTACTCTTTAATTAGCTTTCAATAATTTAAGACTTTCTAATATATTTATCAAGTTCTTTTTTAGTTGGGGATGCTTCCTCATTATACAAATCTTCATTATCCTATAATTAACTCTATCTATTATAATTATTCTATATAGGTTAATTAAGTGAACTGCGAATAACTTAAACTGAAATCCCATTCGATGGTATATAATTTTATGATTATAAATAGTTTTTTGAAGCATTTGCCTAAGGTATTGATCTTGGAGTTATTTTGGAATTATTATTTAAGCTTAAGCTTGATTTCGTATTTATTTTTCCTTTAGATTTATCTCTGCTTTTATTTTTTGAATTGTTTTGACTATGATTATTTTTTATGTTTTAAATTTCTTCCTTTAATTTTAATATTTGTGTATCTTTCATTATTTCTTCTCTTTCGAAAGCTTCTTAAATTTACATTAAAGAAGAGTATTTTTCTTCCAGTTTTTTTTTATCTTCTTCGAACATTATATACAATTAATAATTAGTGTAAGTCTGGCATTTTATAATAAAATCAACTTCATATAATTCTTATAATTATTATCTAATTATTTCTATACATTTCTAGTTTTCATTTTAGTCTTTTTAAAGCTTTATTTTATAATCATTACTATTTTAAATTGCATTTTTTAACTATTCTATTTTATCATATCTAAATTTTGAGTCTTTCTAGTTCATATTATTTTACAATAAGGACTCTTAAAGTTCCTATATATTCTTTTCATTTTATTCAATTAAATTGTCCTATTCTCTTATATTATATTCGATTTCTTTTTTTTTCTATAAAGCATCTTCGAACCTCAAAGTAAGTCTATTAAAATTCTAAATAAAAGTATACCTATTATTCTTATATTATTAACTAGTTAATATTTCTTCTGTAGTTGGTGGAATTTCTTTTAGATTATTTATTTTTTCACTAACTCCTTATTATAATTATTCTTCTAAAGTAAGCTATTATTCTTATTCTTATTCTTGTAAATAAAACGGGTCTACCCCGTTTTTCCCATTTAATTTTTCAGTATTATAAATAGACTTTAAATTTTCATAAACTTCCTTTTTAATAGTCTTAGCCCTTTATGCATATTTTAAAGTATTAATAGTTTCTTCTATAAACTTAAAAGCAGGAGTCACACATGCAATAAAAAGAGTTTTAGCGTTTCCACCTAAACTTTCTTTTAATAATCTCGTTAATTTAGAATCTCTATAAGGTACATGCCTTTTATTTCTATCTGTATATAAAATGTATTTATATTCATATTTATATTTATATATTATTACCATTCTAAGATAAAATATTAATACAATTTCCTAAAGATAATAAAGATTTATTAATATTAGCACCTTCTTTTTATCGAACAGTTTTACTATCTGCAGTTGCTGACGCCCTTTCACTTCCTGCTAAATCAACCATATATAATTTCGGTGTCATATAATTAGTCTAAATGGTATTTTTAGATGTTTCGATTTCCAAGTTTAACTAAATAATAGCATGAGACCTAGAACTGAATTAATTCATTTTAGTACTTGCCATAATTCTTTTTTTATTTCCTTATTTTATTAACTAATGTATTTAATCTACAGTAGTAATTAATTTCTCAGTTAATAATTGACAATAAACCCCTTTTTCTGCATCTTCTACGACATTTAAATTTTCAGAAACTCCAGTTTCTACACTTAATAAATCTCGAATTTATTCATTGTAAATTTCTAAATAACTCATTTTTATTCTTGTTTTTTTTTCTAATTTAGTACATATTTTACAGTCTAAAATACTATCCCGCCTTCGTTTCCTGTATATTAAGGTTATGCATCTTATTATTATGTATTACTTTCATAAATGCTTTTATTATTAGAATTATCCTATATAAGCATACTCTCCTCGAAATTATCACCGAACATAGTAAATGTTTTGCCTGATCCGGTCATTCCATATACTAATATAGTATGACTAAATCCTAAATGTGTTTTATTATAATTTTAAAAATAATATAAAATTTAGATGTATGTTATACCTTTAAATAAAGAATCTTCTAATGTAGGAAGTACTGCTTAATTAAATATTTACATTGTTTAAGTTTTAGAATCAAATACTTCGTCATAGATGAATACTTAATCACCTTATGTAGAATGTGGTTAAACTAACAATATTGAACTGTCCTGACCTGCTCGTATGTATTTTTAACCTTCTATGTGACCTTGGTTTTCATAACATAAGTTGTTTGTTGGCTTTATACGAACGCATACATGAAAGTTTGATTAATCGATTGGATTTTAAGATTATTCAATGCCTGATGACATTTATTATTTTATTATTTTACTTTTAATTTTAATTTTTTTTATTTTATTTATTAATATTTATTGTTAAGCTTTTTTATTTGTTTTCTATTAATTATATTTTTATAAGAGTTTTTTATAGGATTATTTTTTTTTATATTATTTATTTATTTGTTTGTTTTGTTTTATTTATTAATTTTATTTTTATTTTTAATTATAAATATAAAATTTATTTTATTTTGTGATATGAAAAAAATTTTATTTTTGGGAAAAATATATTTTAAAATATAAAGAAAATTTTGATTAATAAATATATTATTAATAAAAAATAATAAACAGGTGGTTTAAATTTATTTAATATAAAATTAAAAATTCAAAAAGAAAAAATTATATAAATAAATATATATATATATATATATATATATATATATATATATATTATAATTTTATATTTATCACTTTTAAAAAAAATATAAATATTTTTTTTGTATTTTATATTTTATAACAAAAAAAAAACTCTAAATTAATATTTTCCTTGAATATTAAACATAAATTTAAATAAAATTAATTAATTTATAAGAAATTATAAAAATTTATTATTTTTAATGTTTTTATATAAATATTTATTATATAATTAAGTTAATTAAAAAATATTTATTAAAAAAAAAATATGTTTTATAATTAAAAAATATTAAGCATTATATAAATATAAAGTATTTATTTATAAATAATATATAAAATATAATATGTTTTATATTTCATTTAATAAACATATATCAGAAATCATTAATATTAAATTAATATTCATAAGCATTTAATAATTATTCTGAAGTAATAGACATATCTTATCCTTTAGAAGGTTATCCTATAAATTCATCTGAATCACTAGTATTATTAATATTATTATTGTTTTTAATTTATTATTAATAATTAAATTAATTATTAACTATATCTTAATTAAAATCATCTTAGTCAAACGATTTTGTTTTTGATTATTTACTTGTTTTTTATTCTTATTATTATTATTATATATTATTTAAATTATTATTAGTATTTTATTAAGATTAATTTGTTTGTTATTTTTATTACTATTATAATTATTATTGTTAATATTGTTATTATTATAGTTATTGCTATTGTTATTGTTATTATTATTGTTATTGTTATTACTATTATAATTATTATTATTATTATTATTATTATTATTATTGTTATCTTTTTAAATTTTATTATTCATTTTACTCATCTTTTTTCTATGTTTATTTTTAATTAATTTACTATTCTTCTTACTCTTTATCTTTTTCGTCTTCATTTTATTAAGGGTTTATAGATCTATATTCTTCAATTAATTATAAAAGTAAAGGTTTTTTCTCATCTACATTTTACATTTTTAATTTATTAACTAAATAATTTCTTTTAATTTCATTCTTTACATTAGATTCTTAAGAATATATTCCTAAACTATATTCCATTTCATAAAATTATAATAACTCTTTAATTAAATGAAGGGCTATTTAAGAATTTTCCTATTCATGCATTTTTTATACACTTGCATTTTCTTTATAAAATATACTTATTTTTTATTTATTTGCAGCTGTATTTTCTTATTAGTCTATTATTTTAAATATAGATGAACGAATATGTGCACGAATATTACTCAAAGCACCATTTTGGTCTAAAGAGCCTATTACTAAATTTTTTAATTCGTTAAGTTCTTGCATTTTTATATTTTTTTTTAATATTATTTATTTTTATTTAAATTAAATTAAATAAATATATTTATTTTGTAAATAATTCCTTTTTATTTTTTATATATATTGAAAAAAAAAATTTTAAAAGAAAAAATAAAATTTTTATTAATTTTAAATTTTTAAAAAGGGAAATTTAAATATTTTTTTTAAAAAAAGATTTTTTTTTTTTTTTTTTTAAACTTAATTTAATTCTTTATAGAAAAATCAACTATTAAAAAAAAAAAAAAAAAACTCATACACTCAAAAATATAAATATTTTATAGAAAAAAAAAAAAAAATGATAAATTATAAAATTAATGTGTTTATAAAAATAAACAAAAATTATTTACAGATAAAAATATCAAAAAAAAAATAATTATTTATTCACAATTTAAGCTTTTTATAATAGAAAAAGTTTAAAATAAAAAATATAACTTCCAAAAAAAACGGTAAAAAGCTAAAAAAGAACCATAAAGTCCATATTTCATTATATTTCCAACTTTAAAAACTAAATAAAGAATATAAAATAGCTCCACAATTATGTAATATAATTTCTAAACAAAAAAATAATAGTAAATATTTATACTTTACAAATAAGTTTTTTAAAATTACATATTATAGATAAATTGTCACAAAACATATTTATTCCATAATAAAGTATTATTAATTCAAATACAATAAAAATTAATGTAACTATTGTTGCTCTATATATACTTTTTATTTATAAAAATATTATATTTTATCCACTAATTTTAATATGTTTTCTTTATTTTACGTTGACTCTGCTGAAACCCAATTATTGTCTTCTATATATATACATATATATATATATAAATATATTTATTATATTTATATATATACCTTTTATAACATTTCTTATAGATGATATTATATTATCTTCCTTTTAATATATTTTTTTCAAATTAGTTTTTATTTATTTATATTACATATGATTAAATTATAGACGCCGTAATTATTAAATGAAGTATTATGCTTATAAATTTACATGGAATTAAATAATTTGCTCCTGATGACATTTTTTTTGGTATATAATTATATGTTTTTTTATATTTTTTTTTTTTTTGATAATTTTAAATTTTTTTTTTATTTTTTTTTAAACAAAAAATATATAACAGAATTAAAATTAAATAAATATTATTTTTATGACTTTTTTTTTATTAAAAAAAAAAAAAATATTAATAAATAAGATATTTAATTATTATTAAATAAATAATTTTTTATAGATAGATATATAAATAGATATATATATAAATAAATATTTTTATTTTTTTCCTCTTTATATCTTTATATAATAATTGTAACAATAATTATACAAATTTACTAATAATCATAAACAATTTATAAAGAGCTTTTTGTATATAATTAGAAACAAAATTTAGATACATTTGAGATTAGGCAAGTTAAAAGAAATACAAACAAATTTGAAACCACTTAGGTGAAGATTGTTTTAATACTTTAAAATCAATAATGTCGATAAGTAAGTTAAATTATTGACGAAAAAACTATAAAGAAATTAATAAAGAAATATGTAAATTAATGATTAAGATTAAAAAATAATAGCAATCCTTTGCATGTAAAAAGATTTATTGAAAAAAAAAAAAAAATAGATTAAAATCTTTTATAATTTTTCCATAATTAATGATAAAACATATTAATTTAATAAATAGATTATAAAGATATACAATAAATGATAAATTTATATATTAAACACAAGATAATATTTTAAAGTAATGCATATATATAAAAGCAGTTAGTTAAAAGAATGATTTTTAACTTTTAAAATTTACAAAAAGATATAAAGATTTAATTTATTTTTCTTATCAAGATAAGTTTTTTATAAATTATATTTTTTCTCATATTCCTTTATTTAATTCTTTTTAAAATGTATTTATAACATGCTAAATAATATTTTTTGTATATTCATTTATAAATTTTATATATTTAACTTTTGATAGCTCTTTCTAAATAGAAATAATGTCCAAAAACATAACCAGATTTTAAAATAAAGATTTATTATTGATTTAGTTTATTTATTAAATCAAAATACGGAAGTTTTTTGGTTTTGAATATTCCCCTATTTTTTATATTTTCTATGATTATTTTATTATCAAATTATATTTTTAGAAAATAATTTCATGTTATATTAGTTTTTGATTTGTTTCAGTTTTTTTTTTTTTTTTTTATGCTACTATGCTTATTAATTATAAAATTCATTAAAAATCAATAATTTATTAATATATTTGTAGTTTATATTACACAGTAATAAAAAATTACTAATATAAAAATAGTCCTCAAACAAATTTAGGATGATTGCTTTTATTATTAACTACCTTTTTTTCATTTGTTTACAATAAACTCGATTGATATTAAATAAAATAATATTTCGATTTAAAAAAAAAAAAAATATATTTATAAAAATTGGATTAATTAAATAAATATTTCGATAATTTCATAGTAGATATTTCTCTCTTACAAAAAAAGATCTAACAAAATATATCGAATATATGTATAATTATGAAATTTCAGTTAAAATAATAAACTAAAAGTCTTTTTCTGTACTTTCATTTTATTTATAATAAGAAATTAAAAATGATATATATAAAGGTCATTATTAAAATAAATATATAAAATAATTCATTTTTTAAAGATATTTGAATAAAATTATCTAAAAAATATAACAAAATTTCTTTTTCTCTAGATTCTTTTATAATCATGATAAATTAATTAAAGCTAGTTTATTTTTTTGAATCATAAAAATTTTCAATAAGAATTATAAAGTTGAATATAACTATAAATGGAAATAGGGTTATTTTTTACTTAGCTTATAGTATTGTTTTTAATGTTTATTTTTAATGTAAAAAATAAATTTAAATTTATACATATGGTTAAGAAATGATAATATTTAAAAACAATTTTTATCAAATATAAATTTTATATATTTCTTATTAATGTTTAAGACATATATTAAATGATTTTCATTATATATTTTATTACAAAAACGATATAAATGTTAAGAGAAAATTAAAGAATTTAGAAGTTATTAATTTAAAAAAATGATATGTAATTAAATTAGTAAAAATACATTAAAAATATATATAAGTAATTTAATAATGAAAAATATAATTTAGAACTAAAAATCTAGAAATTTGATATAAATAAATTAGATTATATAATATATATATATATATATATAATAATAAATAAATAATATATATATATATATATATATATATATATATATATATATATTAAATTTGAAAAAATATGATTTATTAGATCAGTATGTAAAAATTCATAAATAAATTTTTGATAATTTTTAGTAAAAAGATTTAAATAAATATTAATCAAAATATTTTAAAATTTATTTAATAATAAAAAATACATTATTCAAATTAATATTTACATTATTTTCGGATATTTATTAAGAAAATAACATTGATTTTTTAATTACGATTTATATAAATATTATATTTAAACAAATGAAATATAAATTTATCATTATATTTTTGGGATTTTTTTTTTTAGTTAATAAAAAAAATATTAAATACATCAAATATGATGTATGTTATAAATAAATTAAAAAAAAAGAATAAAAAGTAATAGTATATAACTAAAATTTAATAATTTAAATGTATAAAATTTTATAAAAAATTTCTAATTTAATGTTAAATATTATATATGATATTTTTCAAGTATTAATTAGTTTTAAGGCATCCCAAAAAATTTCTTTTCTAAAGATTTCTTAATATTATTTTTTTATGCATATTAATTAATTAATATATTATTTATATTTTCTTGTTTTTAATTTTAAAAGTCTTTCTAATTATATATAAGGCTCATCTTTATAAAAATTCATTCTTTTTATAAAAACAATTAAAAAAATAAATATAATAATAAATATAAAAAAAAGATACAATCCTTAAGAATTTATTTCACAATTATTATAATATTTATATTTAATTATATTTTAAAGCATATCTGAATATGAATAATCATCACCACATCCGCTAAATATATATATATATATATATATATATATATATATATAAATAAATATAAAAATAAATAAAATAAAAGTATATATAAATATAAATTTATATATTAATATATTTATATTTATTTTTCTTTTTTAATTTTCTATGTAAATAATTATATCTAATTAATACTATATAATTTTTTTTAATTACATAAATAAAATATGATTGCTTTTTTATTTAAATAAAATATATTAAATTATAAAGATTTAAGTTTCAATTGTATTTATATATAGATTAAATATAAATAATAATCCATATAAATATATATATATATATACATATATAATATATTTTTATTATAAATTTCTAGAAAATAAAATAAAATTATATCTTTTGATATTTTAAATATATTTTAAATGATATTTAATAATAATATATTATAAAATTTATTTTTTATTTATATATATATATATTTTTTTTTATTATACACTTAAAGCTATAATATTAATTATTAAATAGATTAATTTGCTAGAAGACATTCTTCTAATTAAGAAAATTAAAATTCAAATCTATTTTTAAAAAAAATAAACAAATAAATTTAAAATTAAAAATATACGAAATTAAATTTAAATTCAATGATTATAATTCTTTCAAATTTTCTATTATTTTACATATTTCAATCATACAATCGTAACTATCTATTTAACTATTATTATCACACCAACTTTTTTTTATTTTTATATTATATATACTTTCAAATTAATTACTTTTTAAAATTTAAATTTAGAATTTTCATTTGTTTCTTTTCTATTATTGAATAAAGTATTTAACAAAATCCTTCTGTAGTAATAGAACCTTTAAAACTATTTATTTAAAAAATTATACATATATATTTTATATACATTTATACTCTTCTAAATTTAATTCTAAATCATTTAATACTTTTAAACTTTTAATAGTTTAACATATTTTATTTATTGATTCATCATTAATATCTATTTAATTTTCTTATTAATCTGCTTTCATATTTGATATATTTAAATGTAAAATCTATAAAGCAGGTAAACTTTTTAACGTTTCCATTAAATTAGAAATATATCTATTTTCATCTTCAAAAACAGAAAATTGCCAACTATTAATGAAAATTAAATAAAATAAATATAATAATAATAATATAAAAATACTTTGAAAAATCAATATATAATTCTTATAAATTAAAAAATGGTTTTAAAGAAAAAACATTTTATTAAAATCTTTTTCTTTTATTTCTTCTAAACTATGAATATATATATAAATAAATATATATAAAAGTATATAATATATATATATATATATATATACATATATTTAAATATATATGTGTATAACTAATACTTTGATAATTTTATATCTAAATATGTAGGTGTGTACATATACATATCAAGTGAATTTCTTATATCCATAATAGTGCATTCACCATCTCTTCCTTTTTCACTTTCAATAATTAAATCTCTTGTTTAGTTAGTATTTATTTAATTAAAAGAACTTAATTTTTTTTTTAATTATTTAAAAATATATTATTAATTATTTTTTAAAATATACTTTCTTGTTCCTTTTTCAAATATTTTTGAAAAATTTCTTGTTAAAGAAATCCCTTCATAATCAAGCCAAATTTAATCAATATTATTTATATTTTTATGACATTTTTCAATAGGAGATTTAAAAACGAAATCTTTGTTTGTATAATTAATTAAATTTTCCATTTTTTTTGCTGTTTATTCTATACTATTTTATATCATATCTATAAAAGAGCTTATTTTTTTTTCCATTATATCAAAAGTGTTCTCTGTTAATTTATTTACGATTTCAAACGCTGTTAATTTGTTATTTATTTTTAAATTACTGTTTGTTTTTGGATTATTTTTCAGAATTAAATAATCTACTTTAGATAAGGCCTCCTTTTTAATTTTTCTAAATTCTATATGAATTAATTTAATTAATCTTCTAACATTTCGCATTCATATCTATTTCATAAATTTATTATGGACTTTATTATATAACTAATCTGATTTATCTTCATATACTTTTAATATTTATTAACGCATTTTTTTTTAATTTATTTTTGTAATTTTTTTGTTTATTTTTTTTTTTAAAAAAAGTCAAATAGTTAAATTTTAATAAATAATATATAAATAAAATAAAGTTTTTCTAAATCTTTATATTTTAAAAATGCATTTACTTATATTAGTTTTATTAATTTGAATATTTTTTTTCTAAAAGAAGATAATAAAGTATATTTATTAAATATAATAAACTAATTTTTTTATATAATTTTTAAAAAAATATATAAAATTAATAATACCTCCTTTTTTTTTTTTCTAAAAATTTTAATTAAATTATTAAAAAAAATACTTTTTTTTAGACACTAATTAAATCAAATAAAAAGTATAATTTTTTATTATTAAATAAATAAATAAATTAAAAATACTTATAAAAAATAAAATAAAAACAATATAATAAATGTAATAAAGTGCAATAGCAGGTCCTGCAGTAATGAAATATAAAATAGTATTTTTAGGTGATTAATCAGTTGGAAAAACATCAATAATAAATCGTTTTATATACGATAATTTTACAGGAAGTGAATAGGTTTTAATTTTAATAATAAAAAAAAATAAAAAAATAAAAAAAAAGCCAACAGTCGGAATAGATTTTATATGTAAAACAATATAATTAGATAATAAAACATTAAGACTATAATTATGGGATACTGCCGGATAAGAACGTTTTAAAAGTTTGATTCCAAGTTATATTAGAGATTCTAATGCAGCAATAATAGTATATGATGTTACAAGTTTTTATTTATTATTTTTAATTTTTTTTAAAAAAAAAATAAAAAGATTAATCTTCATTTAATAATTTAAGTAAATGGATAGAAGAAGTTAAAGAAGAAAGAGGAAATGATGCTTTAATTTTTGTTTTAGGAAATAAATCAGATTTAGAAGATACGTTAACAATATTTTATTTTAATAAATTAAAGTAATATAATTTTTTTTTTTTTTTTTTTTTTTTAGAAAAAATTAATAAGAAGAGTTTAATTAAAGTTTAAAATAATTCAATTTAAGTGTTTAAAAAGTTTCAGCAAAGTCAGGTAATAATATAGGAAATTTTTTTAAATAATTAGCTGAAGCACTAAGTGGAGGTTAATAAATTGATAATAAGGGTGGATAAAAAATATAATAAAATTAAGGATAATAATAAAATATATAATTATAATCAAAAGAATAATAAGAAAAAGATAATTTAGATAAAAAAAAGGGATGTTGTTGAAAAAAAAATTCTTTTATAATTTTGAGACAAATTTGTTTAAATATTTAATGATAAATTAAAAAAAAAAAAAAATATAAAAATATTTATATTAATAAAAAAAATATATTTATATGTTTATATATTAATATTATTAATATATATATATATATAAATAATTTTCTCTGTTCTTTAATTTTAGCCTATAATTGTATATTATCTAAATGAATAAAAGTTGTTTTTAAATTTACTAATATATAAATAACCTGAAAATTTTAACATATAATTAATATTAAAGCTATAATTTTATATTTAACATATTTTTTATTTTTTTTATATAAATTTTTAGAATTTTCTATTTCTATAATTTTTATTCTTTTATTATACTTTATTATTTTTGATATAAAATTTCTGATCTCGAAATTTTTTTTTTTGAACATAGTCTATTTTATATAAGAAGCATAACATATATCAGAAAAACTAATATTAATATGAAATAAATTATAATTAAATTACAATTATCAAAAATATATCTTCTATAACGCCATTTAAGTATAAACTAAATTTTAAATTTAATTTTCCTTCATATTCGAAAAATACAAATAAAACTTTTAAATACACTTCAAAGATTAATACTTCATCCAAATAAACACAAAAATGTCTTTTAAAGAATTATTGCTAAAAAAAATGTTCTATGGCTACAAAAATATAACAAAGTAATCATCATGTGTATAAATAATACCCCAGTATCATTTTAGAAATAAAAATATCTAATAAAATTTGAAATATATTTAAATATTATATGGCAATTTTTTAAGTACTATAAATTCGCCTTAATAAAAGCTCTTTATAAAATAAGAGAATATTCTTTATGAAAAAAAACAAGAATTCATCGAAAAAATCCCTTATAAATACTTGATTATAGACGATGATATAAATGGCAATTTAAATCAAAAAGAATCTTATATAGGAGAGTTATAAAAAAAAAATACTGGTATAGATTTAATTGTTAATGATATAATTTATACTTATAATATTAAAAAAAATTCTGTTTATTTTGGATATTTTAGGATGGAAAAAATTTTATATTTTTTTGAACTTTTTTTGGATTTTTTTTTTATAATTTTTTAATAATTCAGGTTTTTATGACTTTTTTATAATGTTAAGTTTCGTTATAATTTTTACTATATTAATGTATGTGCGTGATTTAATACACTTTTTGAACATTTTTTAATATCTATGTTCGATTAGATTATATAATTAATTGATAATTTTATATAATAATAATAATTTTCATAATTATTATGAAATATATATACATATATATATATTTTTATTTTTAATATAAGTTTTTTCATTTTTATTATATATCTTCTTCTTCTAGTGGTAATAAATAATCCCAAAATTCATCTTCTGTTAATAAAGGTATTTTTCCTAATTCTAAATTATCCATTACATTTTTATAACTTTTATGTCCAACTAATGCACCTATAAATTTAATAATAAAATAAATAAATGTATTATTTAATGATATTGCTTTTTATATATTCAGATATATGTTTTATAATAAATAAAATATAATAAAATGTCAATAGAAAATATGTAATTAAATACATTTTCATTATATTATATTTTTTAAAAAGGAAGTAAAAATATAAAAAAAAAGTGAAAAAGATATATATAAATTACTGCATATAGAAGTGGATGGTATTGATCTAATTAATTATAAATGCCTAGTGGCATTACTTTTACATTATTTAAAGATATCTCCTTATAAGGGAGATTAAAATAGTTTGCCACCCATCAAAGTCGAACTTACAATAACATTAATTTCTAATTCTCTAGCAACTCTTAATAATTGTAAATCTTAATTTTAAAATTTCTACCATTTCTCAGAAAAACATTCAGCCATCATAATATTAATCTAAAAAAAGTATGATCATTAAATATAAATATAAATATTATATATATATATATATTATGTATTTTTATATATATTTTAATATACAGGTAATTATATAAATTTAAATCCGTTATTTTTTCCTCCAATTTTTTCAGCTAATTATACTACTTTTTCTAAGCTTAAATGAATTTTTTCTTCGTTTGGAGGAGATCTAAAAGCCAACCAAGTTGCTATTCCGTAATTTTTTATTTTTTTTAACTATATTTATCTTTCTAAAAACTCAAAAGCTTATTGTAATTTTTTCCAATATACCTTTTCGCCTAAAACAGGCATTTGTACTTCAGAAGTATTATGTAAATAATATAAATCTAGACATTCAACTCCTAAATTATCTAAACTTTTTTCTAAAACTTCCTCTAAATAATTTGGATGCATACAATGGCAATTTCCAACAATATCATCTTATTTTATTTTTCCTTTATTTATTAGTTCATTTACTAATACTTAACTAGGAATTCCCTAATCAGCATCTTCTGGTAAAAAACCGCCTTTTGAGCATAAAAAATACTCATCTCTGCCTATTTTTTCGACGTTATGTAAATACTATAAAGCCGCTCCTATACTTCTTTCAGATTTTTAATATCTGTAATTTATTGCAGTATCAATTACATTTATACTACCTGATTTTAAACTATTAATTAATGCATTAAACATCTATTTTTATATATATATATAAATATACTATAAAAAAATAACTTTAATATCATCTTCTTATTCTGGTATTCCTTAATAAGAACCAAATCCTATGCTTGTTAAAGTTAAATCAGATTTAAATGGAATTTTATAATTTTTAGGATGTACTTTTAGTAAAAATTATATATATATATATATATATATATATATATATATGTGTTTTAACTATTTTAAGAAATATGATTATTTTTATAATTTTATGTTCCTTATTATGTAGAATAACCTTAAAGTTTAATTAGTTATTTTATTTTATATAAATTTAAAAATTAATCCTTTAACTCAATTGTGTATTTATCTTAAAGGAAACTATTTTCTTTTGTCGAAAATTTATTTATGTTTTTTTTTATTATATTACTTATCATTTTTTTTTTTTTTTTTTTTTTCGAATACATATATCTATATATATACTACTTTTATTTTTTTTTATAAATTAAAATTTTATTATAATTAAATAAATTTATTGATTTTTTTTTTTTTTAAATAAATAATATGGAAGAATATAGGTAATAAATGTCAATAAAAAATTAGAGAGGAGATTCTACGTTTTAAATGAAGTATTTTTTTAAAAATAAAATGTAGTGTTTAATTATAAATAAAAAGAAATAAGTCATCAACTAGAATTAATTAATAAAATAATTAAATACAGTAAGAGCATAATAATTATACATCCCAACTATAGGAATAATAAAACATATAAGCATTAAATATAGAACATTTAAGCTAAAATGAATAAATATAACAATAAAATAGTTCTGCTTATTTATAAAATAATTAAGAAAGTATATTTTATTTATATATATATATATAGATATATATATATATATATATATATATATATATATATATATAAAGATGTAGAAATTAAATAATTAGTAGATAATGTTGATATTGAATAATAAAACAAATATACAAAAAAATTTGAATTTTTATGGAAAAAAAGTCATATATTTAAAGCTTTTTCAATAACAAATTATATACTTTTATTAATAATTGTTATATATATAATTTTATCAAAGTGAAAAAAAACAAAACATAAAATAAAAAAAAATATTTAAAAAAAAAATAAAAATAAAATAAAATTTAAATTATTATTTTATTTAAAATTTAAAAAATATTAATAAAAAAAAATGTCATTTAGATGTAAAAATAATAAAAATATTTTTTATTTTTTTTTAAAAAAAAAAAACAAAACAAAAAAGCATCGCCAAATAACGATAGAATATAAAAAATAAGCGAAAAGTTAAATTATATCCAAAGTAATGTTTATGAAAAAGGAAAAACTTAAAAAATTGATTTTACTGAAGAAAAAGCAAATGACTTGGAAGAACAAATAAACGAATATGAAGAAAAACTAGAAAAGAAGATAAAAACCATAAAAGATACAATATAATAATTATCCAAATTTATATAAGAAGATAGATTTTTGAGAGATTCTCAATTTGAAAAAAAATAAAAAGACATATATGTTTTAGATTAGAAATTATCATAATTATTAGAGAATGAAATAATAGTAAAATAAAAATGTTATATATATAAATATTTATATAAAAATATAATAAATAATTATAGGCTAGAAAAGATGGTGAAAATAAAATATTTAGAATAATTGATGATAAAGTTAATTTAATAAAAGATGAAATTTTAAATGAAAATAAAATTAGAAGTGACACAATAGAAGAATTACATTAAAAGTTAGAAAATGAATTACCGAAATTAAGTAATGATATAAATAATGAAAAAAACGAAAGAGAAGAAATGGATTAAAATATAATGAAAAAAACAACTGAAGAATTATTAAAATTAAATAATATAATATAATAAGAAAAGAAAGAAAGGGATGATAGTGAATAGTCAATTTTTAGTATGTTAAAAGAAGTTGTAAATAGAATTAAAAATGAAATTGAAACAGAAAAAAAAATAGGTATTTTTATTAAAATAAATTATATCTATAAATAAATTAATATTAAAATATTAAAATATAATATATATATATATATATATATATATTTTTATTAAAGGGAAAATACAGAATAAGCTTTATTGAATTTACTAGAAGACACTTGTGAAAAATTAAACGCTGCCTCTTTGGCTTGATTTATTTTTGAAAAATAATTTTATAATCATTTTTATTTTTTATTTTTTTTTTATTTTTTTTTTATTTTTTTTAACATATATTGATATATTATTTAGCACTTAATATTTTTATTTTTAAATAAAATGCATCAATCAAATAGAAAATAAAAATTAAATATAATATATATTATAATTTATATATTATATATTATATAAATTTTATTTTTTAAACACAAATAAATATTTTTAATTTTTCTAATAAAATATTATATATAATATTTTTACTATTAAAGTTATAAGTTAAAAAAATGTTTTTTTTAATAATATTCATTAAATTTGAATAAAAATAAAATGAAAAACTATAAATAATTATCAGATTATTATTAATTTAAATATATTAAAAATTTGCTTAAATAAAATTCATTTAAATATTAAAATTATTTATATTTTTTTTTTAATTTAAATAAAATAAAAATATTTTAAATTAATAATAAAAATAACAATAAAATGTCTTTTATATTAAAAATAATAACAAAATAAAAATAGACGTTATAATTTTAATATATTAAAAAAAAACTATAATAAAGGTAATAAAATAAGAATATATATTTATTTATATGTTAATATATATATTGCTTATATATCAAAATTATTCAAAAATAAAAAAAATCATTCACTTATTTATTAAGATTCAAGTAATTTTTCACGATATTTATAAAAAATAGAGGGATGAATATGTAATCTAAAGTTTATTAATTATAAAAAATCTCTCTCCAACTAATTAATTTCTTAAATTGAAATTCCCCCAACTTTCCCATAATACTCATTATTATAATATCTATCATCATAAAATTTAATAGAAAGCATAATTGATGTTATTAAAACTCTTTTTTTTAAATTAAAATGTTTTTAATCATACAAAATATATATAAATATATATATATATACCTATGAATATTATAACTGTTTAATAAAAAATTTTTATGTCTTTCAGTCAACCTATCTATATATATTAATGCAAGAATAAAACTTTCTTATGCACAATTTGAACATTTATGTATTCTTAACAAATAATCTTTTATAGAAATATTGGGAATGCTTTTCCCATGGAAATTTGATATGAATTCGATTGGTAATTTATCGTATTATTATATAATTTCAGTTAATATATTTGCTATAATTTCTATTAAGTCATTATCTTCTATAATTTACTTTCCATTTACTTCATAAATTTATTTGTATTATATTCTTTCGTTTTGGACCTTTATATTATCTAATTCTAAATTCATTTTATATTTTTATGAAATAAAATAATGTTTATTAATATATATAAATTTTATTAATAATTTTTATTTTTTATTTTTTCGTTTAAATAAGTAATTTATTTCGAGCTTTATATATTTTTTAATTTTTTATATTTAAATATATAATTATTATATTATTAATAAATATTTAATATTTTTCATAATTTAATATAATATTAATATATATTAATTAAAAAAAAAATTAATCATTAATATATTTTTTTTTTTATCATACAAATACTGATAATTTCTTTTTTTATAAAAAATAATAAATAAATATATAATTTAAAATAAAAAAGAAAAAAATAATATATATATACTTGAATTTTATAAATAGTTTAATATTTTTTTATTTTTTAAAAAATAATTAAAATAAAAATTACTTTTACTTATTAATAAATTTGTCTAATATATTTTAATAATATATATATAAAATATATAAAGATAACAATATACATATTTATACTTATTTTATATATATATTATATAAAAAACATTTAATTAAAAAAGAAAAAATATGTAAAAAAAAGAAAATTATCATAATTTAGTAGAAATTTAAACTTAAATAAATGATCAAATATCAAATTCAAATAAATAATTAATAAAGTTATTTAAAATAATTAACAATATATTTTATTTTAGATTTAAAATTTATTATAAATAGTATTCCCAGTTTCATTTAAAAACTTTGTAATTGTTTTAAAAACTAATAAATGTAAAAAATAATTATTTTCCATAAAAATACAAAATAAAAAAATACAAAATAAAAAAATGAATACAATATTTTTCTCAAATTAAATAAAGTTTTCCTTCAAATTAAGTTATAAGTGAATTTATTGAAGGAATCTAATAAAATCCAATAAAATTACCAGAAAAAAGTGATTAAAAAAAACATTGGTGTTAGATTTAGACTAAACCATAATTATATCCTCATATAATAAATTTAAAAATTATGATCTGAGCATTAATGTATACTGAAAAAAATAAAAAACCCCAAATATAAATATATAAAAATAAAATAAAAAATATATACATTATTATTGATTTTAAATAATAAATAAAAAATAAAAATAATAAAGGTTAAACTAAAAAACAAGAATCAAAAAACTATATGGATAAAATATAGACCTGGTATATACTAATTATTATAAGAATTAAAGGATTTATATGAAATAATTATATTTACGAATAGTGTTAGAGAAGTATTAAATATATAAATATATATATATATATATATATATATATATATATATATATATATATATATATATATATATAATAAATCTAATAAAAGTATGCAGATATAATATTAGATAATATAGATAAAGAAAAATTCATATCTTTTCGATTATTTAGAGAAAATTGTACATTTTAAAATACTGGTCAAATAAAAAAAGACATATATACTCTAAATAGAAAACCATAGGATATAATAATAATAAGTGTAAGAAAAATACTAAAAAAACAATATTTTGTTTGTTTATATATATAAAATTAATAATAGAATTAAAATAGTAACTTTATAAATTGTGAATAAAACGAGATAAAACTAGAAACCTTTACTATAAAAAATAGTAATTAGGATATCGAATTAAAAAATATAATTGCTTTTTTGTAATTTTTGAGTACTTTTAAAGACGTTCGAAATGTAAATGTGAATTATTAGAAATTTTGTACCGATAAACCTATAGAATATTTAATTACTAACAATTCGAAAAATATATATAATGATAGATTATCTACAGAAAAAACAGAGAGTAAAATCGAATAAATAGAAATGAAATTTATTGATAACTCAAAATCTTCACATGGGTAAACAATAAAAATAGAAAATAATGAATAATAAAAAAATACTTAACCTTCTAATAAAGTTCATTTCGAAGATGATATTGATACTGCTATTAAAATATAAGAAAAAATTAATCAAAAAGAAAGTAAATAAAAAACTAATTTGGAACTTGAAAATATTAAAAAATAAGTTTATGATACAATTATTTTCTAATTTAATAATAAAAATAATAATAATCATAATAATAAAAATAATATTAATAAATGGCATGAATAAAATTTACTTGAATCTAAAAATAGTTAAAATACATATAATACTTAAGAGATTACTTAAAATACTTAAGAGATTTCTTATAGTAATATATCTAAAAATACTCTATATCATTCAAATAATAATAAAGAACTAAGTAAACATTATGAGAAACTTATATAAAATAAATTTAGAAGAATTAGTTAAAATTAAAAAAAAAAGAATTTAATTTTATACCTAAAGTGAGTAAATAAATACTAATAATTTTGAATTATTTAGAAAAGATTGATATTAAATTATTTATATTAGATTTTTTTAAAAATAAATATTATAAAATAGGCATAATAATGTATTTTAAAAATATAAAATGTAATTATTAGGCAATAAATTTAATATTAATATATTATAGAAAAAAAAAAAAAAAAAATAAAATAAAATATAATTATTTTTTATATATAAAGTAAACATTTTATAAAAAAATAAATAATATATTAATAAAAAATAATTGTTTTTTTTGTTTTGTTTTGTTTTTTTTTTTTAAAAGAAACAAAAAATAATAATTAAATATATATTCATAAAACATTTAATATATATAAGTGTATTTATCGTTTAATTTAAATATATAATATTTTATATAGTTATTTATATATATTATGTTATATATTTATCTTATTAATTCGTTATTACAAAGAGGGACAAAAAAGCTAATATATTTTTAAATGAAGTGAATTCTTTAAATAAATAAAATAAAAATAAAAAAAAAAAAATTATTATTATTTCCGCCCTAATAATAAAAATAAATCTTCATTACATAAGTTATTATTTAAATAAATTCATATTACTATTTACATATTAAAAATTATTAGTAAAATTATTAAAGGAAATATTATTAATATTATGATTAAAAAATTTATTAATTTTTTATTAATTTTAACTTACTGGAATAACCTATAGATCAACCGCTTTTATTGATTTATCATATTTTCCTATATAATTTAAACAACTGAATTAAAATTTAATTTAATTTCCTTATTTTGAGCTTTTTAAAAATTCTTTTGTAATTCCAGCTTTTTGTAAATCATCATAGTGTACAAAAATATTAGTATTATCATTTTCCATTACAATAAATCCATAATTTTTATTCTCATCGAAAAATTTCAAAGTTCCAGTATACTTCTGATTTGAAATTTCAAGTTATTATTATTAAAATTAATTTAAATTAGGAGTTGAATGTTATTGTTTTAAAGAATGATAATTCTATTAGTTATTTTCAAGTTTATTTTATTATATATCATCGTTATTTTATTATATTTATCCTTAATATCCTAACTATTTATTTAAAATTGGGACATTAAATTATTAAAAATTTGGGTTTAATAAATTAATTGCCTATATTTAATTTCCTTACCATTATTATTAAAATTATTAATTTTAAGCATTTAAATTTTAAACATTTTAATTAAATAATTAATTGTTTTCAATAAAACTTTCATTTTATTTATTTAACAATTTCTAAAAATGATAACTATCACTTTTATTATTTACACCACTTTCAAAACTTAAATTAGTATATATATTAGTACTATTATTATTAAAACTTTTACTATCTTAATTCAAACTAAAGTCGATACCTCCAAAAAAGAATTCAGGCAACTCATATTTAAAAGAAGGTTAAAAAGGATTATATATTGGATTTTTAAATGTATCAGAAAGTGATTTTTTATGTTTTCTTTTAATAGAAGGTTATTTTTTTACATGATTAGTAGGTGATTCATTTAATATCTAATTAAAATACATATAAATATATTATTTTATGATTTTAATACTAGATTATTCAAACTTTTTTCTATATTTTCTTATATAGTATCTTCTTCTATTTACAGATAATTTTCACCTATAATCTATTATTTTTTTATTTTTTTTTAAAAAAAATAAATAAATATTACATCGTTTCTAATTTATTCACTAATTATTACTTTTTAATCATCCTTTAAAATCGAATCAAAATGACTACCGTCAGGTTATTAATATAAATTTATAAAACAATTTTAAAATCCGTTATTGATAAAATAAGATGTTAAATATTATTATTCTATATTTATTTAATATACACAAATTTAAGATTTAAAAACTAAAGATGATAATTCTAAGTTAAGCTTTTTATTTTTTTATTAATGTAAAATATAATAATATATTTTACTCTTTCAAAGCATTTTAAACTTGGATTTTAATAAAAATCATTTACATTTTATACATATTTTTCTAATTTTTTTGAAATAGTCTATTTTATAAAATAAGTGATTATTTATAAATTAAATATTATTATTTATATGGATATATAATTAATTTATTTTGTAAATTATATATTATACTTTTTCTTGAATTAAATATTTTAAATGCTCTATACATTTTTTCTATATTTTTTCCTAATGAATTGTGGAATTAAATGTTGATTAAGAAATAGATTTCATTAAATTAAACTATCCCTTAATTTATTAAAAAAAAATTGTTAAAATAAAAATATCATTTACATTAATTTTTTTATTTATTAAAAAATGTAAAAAAAAGTAAATATAAAATTTTAGAATTACATTTTGAATTTTTATTATTTAAAGATTATTATCAGCAAGCACTTATTCTAAAATATTGTTTATATCCATTAAAAAAAAATATTTCTTTTTTATTTTTTTTTATATTTTTGAACTTTATAATTTATTTCTTTATATATTTAATCTTTATATATTTAGATATTTGTTTTTTTAATTATCTTTATAAAATAAAATATAAATATTTTATATTTGTAAAAAGTACAAAATTAAATATATATATATTAAATGAGGAAGTAAATCAAATTTGATTATTATTATAATAATTTTAAAGACATATATAAATTTTATTTTTCTTTTACAATTTTTATTTTTGTTATTATATTTTTTTATAAAAAAAAAAAAAAAAAAAAATATTTAAAATATTTTTTATAGAAATAAATAAAAAATTCATAGTTTAATTAATATAATAATGTTCAGATATAAATAGATTAAAAAATAATTATTTTCATAAAAACAAATATAAAAATAATATAATAAAATATATATTTATATATATATATATAATTTTATATATATATATATATATAATAATTATTATATATATATATATTTAAATATATGATAATTTTTATTTTTATTTTTTTTTAATTTGAATTTTAAATAAAAATATTATTAAGAAATATTTATGTAATTTTTTTTAAATAATATAATTAAATTATAATTTTTTCTAAAAGCTTACTAAATAAATATAAATTTTTTTTTTTATACCTTTTAAAATTAATATATATTTTGTTTTTTTAATACTTATAATTATAAAGTTTAAATAAAATTTTAATTTAATATTCTATTTATTAATTATCATTACTTAATTTTACAAAAATAATATAATAACATTCTATGTTAATTTATTATTAATATAATTTATTTTATATTTATTTTTTATTAATTTTATTTATTATTTTCATGTTTTCATCTTTCTTTTAATCCGCTGTTTTACTTTAATTTATTTTATAAAATTATAATTTTTTTTTTAAAAAAAAAAATCAGTAGGTAGATAAAAATAAAACATTTATTAATTAAATAATTTTAAAATAAAAATTCATATATTATACATATATGTTTTTATAAATATTATAAATAAAATAATTATTTGAACAAATATGGTCTTATAAAAAAAAATTAAAAGTAATTTATATACTTAATTTTATATACTAAATATAACTATATTTTTTCATACAAAAATATATATATATATATATATATATATATATATATTATATATATATATATATATATATATATATATATATATTATTATACTATTCTCATAATTTTTTTTTATTTTTACTATATTTTTTGAAAAAAAATCTCTATAAAATAACAATAAAAATACAGAAATAAATTAGAATATCTATTTTGTTTTTTTATTGATATTTTTAAAAAATTTACATAAAAAATATTATAACTAAAAATAAGTAAAATATATATAAAATAATCATTTATCAATCCATCTAATTTTCTTTCCTTCATTCCATTCTCCATTTCTTTCAATTCCATTAGACCCTTTATATATACCTCTTCCATGTTATTTTCCATTAACCCAATAACCTTTATACTACCTTCCATCAGACCAACTAAATTCTCCAAATCCCCATTTTTTATCATCTTAATATTATCCTTTATAAATTCTCCCATCTTTCCACGTAAAAATTCCATTCCCATGCATTTTATTATCTTTCCAGCTTCCTTCGAATTCCCTTCCATCACTCCAAAAATATTTCCCATTTCCATTAATATTATTATCCTTAAATTCCCCTTCATAAACACTCCCATCTGCCCAAATAAACTTACCCATTCCATGCTTCATTCCCATATAGTAATTTCCCTCATAATAAGCTCCATCTACCCACCTTTCAATTCCAAATCCATGCTATTTGTCTTCTCTCCATTCTCCTTTATATGATGCTCCGTCCCTATGTAAATACACACCTTGTCCATGGGCCTTATCGTTTATCCATTCTCCCTCAAAAACATCACCATCTGCATGAATTAGTCTTCCTGTTCCGTTCGCCATGTCGTTTTTCCAATAACCTTCATATTCAGATCCATCTGACCATATTTATTTCCCTTTCCCATGTCTTTACCTGTACATCCATTAACCTATATAATATACCCCGTTTTCAATCTCAGATGGCCCGTAAAAAGGCAATTTTATTATTTCTTCATTATTTTCATATTCTTCTTATTATTCTTTATATTTAAATTGACCTAACTTTTATATTACCTCACGTGTATATTCATTCGAAAAATCAGGAATATTAACTATTTAAGTCAAATCAGATGGAATATGTATATTTATGGCATCGTTTTAGAATTTAATGGAAAATTTTTATTATTTTTTAAAATTGCTCGAATTTTAATATTTATTTGACTCTTTCATCTTGCTATTTGAAAATGTTTTTTCGGAAACTTGTATATGATTTATAGATTTTTATAAGTCTTATTTTACTTATTGATTTAGGTCTTATTTATTCTTTAAATCTGATTATAAGGTTTTAGGTTAAGGAAAAGTTTGAATATTACTTTCGAAATAATTATTTTCTTTTTGATTTTCTTCTTTTTCTGGGCTAAAATTGCCCTTAAAATGTTTTTTTTTATGTAAATTAGTTTCTGTTGTATATTCAAAGTCTTAATTGTCCTCACATCCACCACAATTTCCCATTTTTTTTTAATTAATTATATTTTATTTATTTATTTGATTTTTTTTAGTTTTTTTGAAATTTAAAGTAAAATTAAAAAAAATTATATTGTTAATATTTTATTTTTTTTTTAAAAAAAAAAAAAATTAACTTATATAGTAAACAATTTTATATAAATTATCTATTTAATTAATTATTTTAATGCATTTATATAACCTTTTAATATTAATTTTTTTTTAAAATAATAAAAATACAATCTTGTTTTTTAATAAAATTGAAATTATAAAAAAACAGTAATTGTTAATAAAAAAGAATAAGATTAGTTACATAAGAGTATAATAATTTATAGAAAACAACTAAATATTATATAAAACTAATTTAATAGCAAAAAGAATTTTAGAATCATTAAAAACACTATTTTTAGACTTTAAAATAGTCTAGATTGTTTTAATGAAATTAATATAGACTAGAGAATAAATTCAAAATATAAACTATTATTTACGATAATTTAATATATAATTTTTGATTTCTAATATTTTTATTTCAAATAACAAGAAACTAATAAATATTAAATATTAATATTCTCATTTGTTTATACACTAGAATATGGATTAGATTTAGGAATTAAATACTACTTTTTTTAATTAAATTAGATTTGCTCATTTTACTAATTAAAATGCTCTCTCCAAAAAAATATACTGTATTTTATTTCTTTATTAATTATTTTATATATTATATATAAAAAAATTTATTATAAAAAATTAATGATTAATCAAATATAAAAGGAGAGGGAAATTAATACTTGTTTTAATTTAAATTAATAAAATTAATGCAATATTAGTTTATTTTTATTTAATTATAATTTTTTTAAAAATGATTACTTAATAATATAGTAATTTACTTAATAAAATACGAATTTGCATTTAAATCAAATAAAACATTAAATAAATAAAATAGAAAATTAATCAAAAATAATATAGTGTTTTTAAAGTTAATAAGCTTGAATAATTTTGAATAAGAATATGATAAATTATATATTAAATATAATGAAATATTTAATAAAAATTAATAAAAAAAAAAATCATAAAAATCAAAAATAATATTATTTATATTGCATAATCAAAATAATATATACATTTGTAATTTTATATTATTACAACATATTGTATTTAGATATAAGAAAAAAAGAAAAAAAAAATTCTTCCTTTTAAAATATTTCATTAGATTTATATAAATTTATAGTTATTTCCTAATTCTTATTATAACTAAAATAAAAAAAATATAAAATAATTTTATGTTTAATTTTTTTACACTTTCAATATTAATACTTAACAAATCTATATCTTAATCAAAACATATTTCATTTTTTCCTTTTGCATAAAGCACTTTTTTTTTTTATAAGAAAAAATTATATTATTTAAAATTAAAAAATAAAATAAAAAAAAAATAGAATTTTTAACAAAATGGAAAATCATAAAATTCAACAATAAATCGAAGTTATTAATCAAAGCCATAAATTCTACATTTAAGCCATTATTAATATCCTTATTAAAAGGAAAATAATGCATATTACTAAACTTAATTTATTTTGTTTTATAATAGCAATATAGTATTTTTTTAATTAGAAGAATAATTCAATACTAAGCAAATTTACTTTTAATTATAAACACTTTAATCCATTTTGTAAAAACTTAAATTATTTTACAAATTCTATTATAAATTTAACTCTTTTAATTAATTTTAATAATATAATTAAATATGGCTAAATTATTAATTAAAATTTATAAAATTAATGCTTTTATAAAATTATATCCAGTTCTATTTTTACTAAATTATAGAATTTATGCATATATGCATTAAATAATAATTTATTTATTCAACTAAAATATATATAGGAATTTCAATTGAAATAGTACTTGTGTTTAATATTTCAAATATTTCGTCTCTATTTTATTTTATATTTTCAAGGTTTATAAACTTTATAGACTGCCAATTATCATTTATTTTCTAAAAATCTAATTCCTGTTTTTCCTCTACTTAATTTAATTAAAATGTTCCTAATTATTATTTGTCCAAAACAACTTTAATCCAAATATTTTATCTATATTAAACATTCCGACTTTCAGAATTTTAGAAAAAATAATTAAAAAGAGGAAAATCATTTAAGATAGTCTAAAATTATTCCTTATCATAAAATAAATTATTTAATGAAAAGCTAAGAAGATTATTATTAAATTATAATAAAGTTAAGCCTTAAAAAATAATACTAAATTAATTATTATTATACTCATTTATTTTTTCTTTTTCTTAATTTTAAATATTTCCGTTTTCATCAAATTAAATTTATATTAGTTTAATACTTTTAAAGAACTATATATATATTTTATTTATTAAAATATAAGTTATATATTAATTATAATATAATTGAAAAAGAAAATACTTTATATTTTATTTCTAAATATCCTTCAAATTTATTAATTTAATATTTTTTAACTAAAAATTTTTAAAATGAATTTATAAATTCTTAAGAATCAAAATAAAAATCTGGATTTCCTTTTAATTAAATTTAATTAGAAATGTAATACTTAATAAATTGTAAAACATCAAATTTTTATTTTTTATTATTAATTTCAATAAAATATTAAGCTTTTAAAATCTATAAAAGATTATTTTCATTAAAATAACATAAAATTTAATTAAAAGATAAATAAATCATTTTTTATTAATAAAAAAAATAAATAAAACTAACTAGAACTTCTATATTAACACAATCAATACTATTTGAACTAAAACAAAGCATTTAAAATATGAAATTCATTTTTTATTAAAAACTAATCTTTTTGTTATTACAAATAACTAAAAATAAGAATTCATAAAAACAAATATTTTCTTCTTATTAAAATAATTCTAAACAATCAGAACTTAGTTTAAAATTTGTTTATAAGTTTCTCTTAATTAATTGTAAAAAATAATCTTTATTGATAAAACTTTTATACTTCCACAAATCATTAATTCTATCTAAAGATTTATTACTTATATTTTCAAAAATACTTTATTATTTTAATTAATTAAAATTATTAGTTTTCTATAAGTTTAATATTTCTTAATTAATATAAAAATTAGATTATTAATAATGTTATGAATAAACTAAAATAGAAAATTGAATAAAGTTGTTATTTTCTAAACTATTATTTATATCAAATATATTTATTTAATCTTTAGTTAATTAGTTTAATATATAATTATTAATATTAATAGAAATTTATTTCAAAACAACATTTTCTAAGCTTAAAATTTAAACAAAAATCTTATTTTAACCATAAATATAATCAAAATATTCCAAAATTTAGACTTTCTAAATATTTTTAATTTAAAAAGTTTTATTTATATTTTAATACCGAAAAATAATTTTTATTGAATTATCCCTAAATTTATCATTAATAATGCAAATTTTTTCCACAAAAATAAATATTTTTTATATCCCCAAATCAGTACAATTTCTAAACTCTAAAAATTACTTAAACATATTTTAAAAATTATCTAAATTTAAATTTCTCTCCTCAAAATTAATTTTCAAAAAAGTCTATTTATTTTACTTATTTTAATACTAAAATTTACAATTAAAAAGTTCATCTTATTTATCATTTATAATACCAATATTTTTTTCCAAATAAATATTAATATTAATATATATATCTTAACATTTTTAAATAAAATCATTAATTTTTAACTCGAAAAAGCAATAAGTTTCCAAAGCTAAAAAAATATCATTTAATTTTTTACATGAACTTAAAATTAAATCTTCATTTTCTTAAAGAATATTAATAATAATAGCCATACAAAATATAGGAATTTTCTCACTTCCTAAAAAAAACAAAATATCCCATAACCTAAACAATAAACTACAGTTAAAAAGTTCTGAAAAAAAGCTTAATACATTTTAAGAATAAAATAAAGAAATGCTAAAACCTAAAACATTTAAATACTCGTCTAATTTATGATTTATAGATTTAAAATAAGAGCAAATCGAAAAGATATCATTCTACAATTTAAAATCATTCTCGAAAAAATAATATTTACAAAATTTATTCACAAAAATAATTAAAAGTCCAAAAAGATTTTCTTCTTTATTTTCTTTAGTTTAACATAAAAGCAAATAAGCTTTATTAATAAAAGGAATCAATTATTTTTTATATATAAAACTTTTATTATAAGAACACATATAAATATAATTATGAAAAACATCTGTAATTATTATATAGTTATTTATATTAAATTATTAATTTAAATCTTATTAAAATATGATTTTGAGATCAGAAGTAAAATTTTATTACTTAACTTTTATTTAATTATAAAATTCTATTATATTTTAATATTAAAATTTATTCTATATTTATTATTTTAAATCGTTTAAAAAATTATTTAATTCTCCTAAAAAAAGCCATAATTTAATCCTAAATTAATCAGGAATTCCTTAAAAAATTATTTTTTATGCAATTTTATTCTTTGAATCTAAAAAAATATTTCTTTTTTTTTTTTTATTTAAAACAAAAAAATTAAAAATATAATTACATTTTTTATTCTATAATTTATTATATTTAAACCTAATTATAATCTTTAAAATTTATTTCTTATTTCTCAATAAAATATTTTAAAAATTAATACTTTATTTCTTAAAAACAAAATTTCTTATTAATTTATTTATTTATTAGTAATTATAAAGATGTCGTATTTATATTTT